CAACCTCCTCCACTCAGCCCATGGGAGCGCTTATTCTGTGCTTATGGGGTAAAGTGTTGGCCAATTCTAAAATACAAAATAGGCCCAATTATGTAGTAAGCCTTTCCCACAGAGGCAGATGGCTGTTATCTCAGGAGTGGGTGTGGTAGTACACACCTACTGTCCCAACATGCAGAGGCACGAGGATCAGAAGTTCAGTTTTATCCTTAACTAACTATGTAGTGTGTTTGAGGCCATGAGACCCTGTTTCAAAAGTGGGGCACCATTCAGGAATGGTGGTACATATATTTAATCTCAGCTCTCAGGAGCCAGAAGCGTTGTGGGTCTCTGAGTTTGAAGCCAGCCTGGGTACAATTGTGAGACCCTGTCTCATCAACGTCAAAAGTAAGTAAGTAAGCAAGTAAGTAAGAAAGTAAGTGTGTGCCTGCATGTGTGTGTGTGTGCGTGCGTGCGTGCGTGCATGTGTGTGTGCGTGCGTGCGTGTGTTTGTGTGTGTGTGAGTGTGTGTGCGTGTGTGTGCCTGCGTGTGTGTGTGAGTGTGTGTGCGTGTGTGAGTGTGTGTGAGTGTGTGTGCGTGTGTGTGAGTGTGTGAGTGTGTGTGCGTGTGTGTGGTTGTGTGTGGTGTGTGTGTGTGTGTGAGTGTGTGTGAGTGTGTGTGCGTGTGTGAGTGTGTGTGTGAGTGTGTGAGTGTGTGCGCGTGTGTGTGAGTGTGTGTGTGCGTGTGTGTGTGTGTGTGTGTGTGTGTGTGTGTGTGTGTGTGTGTGTGTGTTGGGGAAGGTACTGGAGAGATGGCGCATCAGTTTTTGCTTACTGCTCTTCTAGAAGACCCAAGTTAAATTCTCATCACCCATGTCAGACAGTTCACAACTGTCTGTTAACTCCTGATCCAGTGGATCTGATGCCCTCCTCTTCTGGCTTCCAAAGAAGCATACACATAAATCAAAATAAATATTTAAAAAATGTTGAAAATCAATTAAATGACTTTAGTTTTAGTCTTGTCTTAGGTCAGGCCCCTTCCAACCAGCCCTACTTGGTTCACCTCTGCAAAGTTCTAGTTCTGTCTGATGCATTGCTCCAAGACGAAGGTTTGCTCTCCTTGTGTTCTGTTTTCCTTCTCACCTTCAATGCTAGTGGCCAGTTTAACTAACTGTGCTCTTCCTTGTCTTAAAAACTCCATGGAGGGGATAGAGAGAAGGCTCAGTGGTTAAGAGCACTGTCTGCTCCTTTAGAGGACCTGGTTTGGACCCTCAGCACACATATGGTAGGTCACAACCATCTGTAACTCCAATTCCAGGGCATCCAATGGCCTCTGTAGGCACCAGGTACATGCATGTTGTATATACACACCTTTGGCTAAAACACCCATACACATAAAATAATAAAATATTTGGGAAAAAGCTCTATGGAAAGTCCATTCTTTATCCATGCCGGTTATCCAACCATTCAAACTCTTTATTGACAGCCATCATTTGGGATCAGGTCATTTGGAGTACAGGTAGTCTTTCCCCTTAAACCACATAGTGACCCTTTCCTGCAGAAGCGACTATTATCTCAGGAAGCTCACACTCAAGGATATAATGTGAAAGGCATTCCCTGACATCAGTGACTTCTTGTCTTCAAGAGTGGGGCTATGACTGGGGTAGAGTGGGGACAGGAAAGAGAGCTTAGTGATAGATGTCAGGCAGAAAGAAGCCAAATGAAAGCCATTGCTGATAAGGCTTTGCACAGTGGACTCAGGGTGCCAGTAAAAGGGCAGTGCTGGTGCAGGGTTTCAGCTGCGGGGTGAAGCGTGAACCTGGCTCACCTCCACACTTGGAGCAAAGGCATCTGAAGTGACTGAGAGACTGGAAAGATGCACGTCAGGAGGCTGTGGACTTCTGCTGCATGGACGTTTCTGTTCTATGTATACGTGAGTATCACATAGGCCCTGCCCCTCTGCATTCCGTAGTTCATAACACCAGTTCAGAGCCATGGGGCTCTCTTTCCAAACTGCAGCTCTTAAGAGTTAAATGCATCCTTTTACTTCTGCAGCTCCTGAGTTTGGATAGATCAACAATATTTGTTATTGTTTAGATAAAAACATCTTTGGGCTCATGTTTGAACACTTGGTCCCCAGTTGGTGGTGGCAAATGGGGAGGTTGTGCACCCTTTGGGAGGTGGACCTCGCTAGACAAGTGGATCTTTGGTGGGTGGGCACTGACTGAAGCATGTAGTCAAGCCTGACCTGACTTCCTGTCCTGTCATGGTCTGGAAAAATGTGAACAAACAGCTTGACATTTCCACTGCCTCCGCCTCCTGCCACACTGCCTGCCCCACCCTGCAAGACCACACTCTCAAACCATGAGCCCCAGTCATTCCTCCTTTAGGTGGCTCCTTGTCAGCTTATTACATTGAAAAGTTGCTAGTGCAACATCCAAGAAGGAAGACTTTGAGAGGCTATGTACTGATTGCTTCTAACTGGGACCAGACTTTTGTTTATTGGACACAGATTTTAACACTTGGAGCAAGAAAAGAGAGTTTGTGCACAATGGTGAGTCATGAATATTTGAAGGGAGGAGGTTTTTCCATCTTTAAGTACCTTCTCTATGCTATCTGGTTGATAAAGAGTCATGTCTATAACATATGCTGGAATGTCTCACGGAATACAAAATAAATAATTAGAAATGTAAATCTTGAGGAAACCTAAAAGACTGATATCCAAGGGTTATTCATCCTTTTCATTATTATTATTTTTTGTTTTATTCTTGGGGTTAAATGTAGTCAAGGTTGGTCTTGATTATCCTGACTCTACATCCTCAGTGTTTAGATTTCTGGCATGTGCCACCAGCCAAGCCTGTGTGTGAAGGTGTGTGTGCATGTGTGGACATATGAGTGCATATGCCTTATGTCCATGTGTAGAGGTCATAGTTTATCTCTGTGGTGTCTTCCTCTATCTCTCCCCAACTTCTCTTTTGAGACAAGAACTCTCCCTGAATCTGGAGATCAGACTGACTACCTTGCTGGCCAGTGACATTCATAGATTTACCAGTCTGCATTAGCTTTAACAGAGTAGAAGGGCTCTGGACTCCAGTATTCACACTTGCACAGCAGGCACTTTACTGACCCAGGATTCTCCATCTCACCACTTTCCAACCTTTGGGAAGTCTGAAGTTACTTCTAAATAACAAAGTCCTAATAGGAAGTATATAGGTCAAATAATAAGGCAAATAACCTACCACTCAAGAGGTTCAAGCAAGAGGGCTACAATTTCAGGCCACACTAAGTAGCAGCACACTGTGTCTTGAGTGGTAGGAACACATACATGTATCACCACACTCACTTTATGCAAGAAACTTGGAGGTTCTACCTGAGGTCAGCCTGATGGCTCAGTGTGTGAAAGTGCTTGCTGCCAAGTGTGGCTTGGTGAGTTCAGAACCATAGGCTGACATTGTAGAGGTAAGGATAGACTCCTTCATGTTGGCCTCTAGTTTCTTTTGTACACCATAACATGAATATACACACATAAATAAACAAACTTATCATAATATAATGATAAAAGGAAAAGTTACCAAGCTGAGCATGGCAGCTCATAGCTGAAATCCTAACACATGGGCACCATCATTCAACTCCTTAGGACTTGAACTTCTGATCTGCCCTTCTAAGTAGAAGAAGGAGGATCAGAACTTGCAGCCCAACCATTGCTAAACATTTCCAGTAACAGGTCAGTCTGGGTTATAGGAGACATGGAGTTAAATAATAAACAACTAGACCTATGGCTCCAATGTCAATCATTGGATCATAAATTCAAGGCCAGCCGGAGTTACGTATCATCTTCCAGGTCAATCTGGACTACATAGATCCTGGTTCAACAAAACAAACACCTAGAATTAGTTGAGTATGGTAGCAAACACCTGTAACCACAGCACTCCACTTATAGTAGCTTTTGTTTGGGAAGTGAAAGTGGAATAAATCTTCCTAAAATTGTTTCTTATCATGAGGTTTTATCGCAGCCTCAGATACACAGTGTCCATGAACCAGTGAAGGACAACAGCTGTAGCCTGTTATACTTCAAATGATTCGACCTAAAAGTATTAACCTTGAGAGGGTGTATATTAGAGTTTAATGTCAAATATCCAAGGAATGATCCTGTGCTTGAATATTGATCCCTAGCATTGGACTTCACTGTTTTTGAAGTTGTGGAAAATGTGAGAAATCAAACCTAGAATGAAGAAGAGGGTCATGGGAGGTATAGAGAAGCTAACTGAGTGCAAACACCTCCTTGGTCCATTCTGCGCCACTGACCAGACCAGCCTTCACGTCCTTGGGGACACATGTGTGTTAGCGAGGTATGTAGAGCCATCATAGAACCTAGGGTGCCAGGACATGGCTCCATCTCCCACATGGGTTGAATTAGGGTTCTTGCAGACAAGTATTTTCTTGACCATTTTGAACATACCAGGCTTCTGCCTCTGGGATCCTGGGCTTTGGTGAGAAGTCTCAGGCCTAGTGGAGACCATGTGATGAATGCTGTCATCTTTAACCCCCACAGATGTTTCTTCCAGGCCCTAGGGTGCAATGGAACACAGTATTTTGTCACCACATCCCAATGTAGTCATCCTATAGAGCCCAGGAATCAGTCTTTAGAGAAAAATAACCTGAAAACTTTGAATGTAGACATGCTGAGTTATTACATCCTTGTCCTAGGGTGGTAGGTTCCAAAAGAAAAGCAGAACACTATGCCCCTACTACCCTGAGAATGTCAGAATCCATAACCAAGGGAGGGCCAATGTTGCGGGGCCCTTGTCATTCTTATGATTCTGTTTCATTATAAAAGTGAAACACATCCTGGTTAAGGTTTGTGTGTCAATGTCCCACAAAGAATCACAGTGTCTGGATGCAGTCCCCACCAGGTGACATCATTTGGGAAAACTTGTGGACCCAGGAAAGTTGGCTTTACAGGAAGTAGTGGCTCATTGGGCACATTGGGGACAGCCATTTGAATGTAGCCAGTGTCATCAGGCTCCTACTGCCACACTGAACAGTATAGCTTTCCTGTCCTTGGTGACAGAAGGTAAAGAAACCAGCGAGGTGTGCTGAGCTGCCATTGGTCCATTTCTTGCTGTGACCTCACAATGACAGACTCCTCTGCACTAACAGCTCTGGCTGAGGCTGACTCCAGTGCTTACAGTTCAGCAGCTGTTAGCTGGTTGGAGACTATTGAGATTCACTTATCAGTGAGCTACTTGTACTTGGATAGTGGTGAATTGGTGAATCTGAACACAGTGAGTGGTCTCTAGTTCATAGATACCGGGTTTAGAGATTTTGTTTCTCTGAATTTAAACTAAATCTACAGTCCTTCTTCTTTGGTTTGGAGTACAATGTGTGGCAATTTTTATTTTTTTATTAGAATTTACTCTATGTGTTGTGTTTTGATTTTTCGAGACAGGGTTTTGGAGGCTGTCCTGGAACTCTTATGTAGACCAGGATGGCACAAACTCACAGAGATTCGCCTGTCCATGCCTCCCATTTACTGGGGTTAAATAGGTGTGCCACCAAAGCCTGGCTGAATTTACTCTATTTTAATGTGTCATTTTATCTGGACTTATCTCTGCTTTTGCCATTTAAAAATATCCGTCTATATTAATTGAACAAGATTCTCACGGGGGCATTTACATACATGTACAAAAACTTGGACCACACTCCCCTGATCTCACTGCCTCCTGCCTACCGCTTCCAAGTCCCTAGTGTTTCCCTTTTTAATTCAGCCACTTTCTGAGCAGAGGCCAAGTCATGTGTACTGTTGAGAGGACTGACAGGCCACAATGGATGGTCTCTTAGGGAAGGGCACCAATGTGTCTGTGCTTTGACAGAAAGCCTCAAGCTAGGTGGTTATCTTGGGATCTTCCCGGCAGTTCAAGGTCATGATTGGCAAGGACAGAGAAAATAGTCAGATCCTGTTCTTTCGATGAAATATATGGTACAGGGCAGCTGAAAAGAATTTAAGAACACAGTAAGTGAAAGTGTAAAGAGAGCCTGAAAACTCTTAGAGGCCAAGTAGCAATCAGCTAACCTTCCTATTTGGACAGATACCCAACAAGTAAAGTGTCTCTCCACTCACCCCACACCATATGACCCTAAATCGCTAAGAAGCCCCATGCTCCTTCCAGTTACATCCCCTTATCCCTATTCCTGACTTCCCCATCCTCTCTGTAGCTAATTCCTATCAACGGCTGTTGTCTCCATGCTCTGATCCAAGGTTATTTTGATGAACACATACACTCTAGGTTTGCTGGCTTTCCCATTGAGCTCCTATACAAGATGCATCAGTTGACCCTGAAGGACTCTCCTTAGGATGGCCACAGCTAGTTGGATCATGTCTGATTGCAGGGTGTGTGTGTGTGTGTGTGTGTGTGTGTGTGTGTGTGTGTCTGTGTGTGTGTCTGTGTGTGCTATATGTGTGTCTGTTTGGGTTTCTGTGACTGTGTGTGTGTCTGTGTTTATGTTTCTGCTGTGTAAGTGTCTTGTGGATTTTTGTGTGTGTTTGTCTGTGTGTGTCTGTATGTCTGTGTTTGTGTATGTGTGAGTGTTTCAGTGTGTTTTTCTGTGTGTGTCTCTGTGTTTCTGTGAGTGTGTGTCTGTATGTTTTTGTGTGTGTGTGTATGTGTTTGTGTATCTGTGTGAGTGTCTGTGTGTGTGTATACATGGTCTGTGTCCTGCAAAGTCCCTGTTAAAAACTTCAATCCTAAGAGAACTCTATTAACAAATGGGCACTCAGGAGCACTAGAGATTGTCACACAGAAGAACATGTGGCCTTTAAGAAAAGGCTTCATAGACTGAGTTCATGCTTTTCCTTGATCGTGTGAAAATACACACCAATTCTAATTAGAATGCAGTCCTGTTATACACACAGTCCTCTGGTACTTGATCTTATCTTTCGAATGTCCAGATACACAAGGAACCAATTTCTGTTGCATTTAAGTGACAAAACTAATGAATTTTGTTTAAGGGATGAAGGGCCTAGGGTGCCACAATATGGCTCTATCTGCCACATGTTGTCTTAGGGTTCTGGCAGACAAATATTTTCTTGACCATTTGAGTGTATCAGGCTACTGCCTCTGGGATCCTGGGCCTTGGTGAGAAGTCTCAGGTCTCATGGGTATCATGTGTTGTATGACGTCATCTTTAAGCCCCCACAGATGATAATCCAGGCCCTGGGGTTCGAAAAAACACAGAATTTTGTCAAACATCCCGATATAATCAGTGGCTGCCTCTTCTCTGAGTGTATTCTCCTGAGCCACCTCCCCACAAGGACACTCTGGGTTTTCAAGTGTCTGTTTTCTTGGTAACCTCTTTCCCTTCTGGTTTTACTAGAACCTAATCTCTGTCAGTGTTGGTTGCAGAAAGACGATCATGATCCTCCGCAATGAGCAGCTCTTAGCTTCTGTGACCTTTGTTTTATTCTCTGAGTTGCTGGATGGTTCCTGCATATCCCATTGGTGTCATATTCAACAGTCCACTGCTGTAGAAGATGCTTTCTTCTCTTGTGAGCGTTAAGTGCCTGCTTAGGTTGTCTGCAATGTCTCTGAGTGTCATCTTAAGGGCATAGGAATGTGTTGCTATGGACATTCTCCTGGTCATGATTTGAACAGTTTCTTTAAACTTCCCCCTTGTCAATTCGGTTCTAGCCATATCACCGAGGACGCGACCATGGAGCAGGGCAGGGAGGCCTGCTGCTCCTCTGAGGACTCCTTCCTGCCTGACTATAAGATGCTGAAGACCGTGGGCCAGGGACAATTTTCCAAGGTTAAGCTGGCCATCCACGTTCCTACTGTAACCCATGTGGCTGTAAAACTTATCAGAAATGATAAGGAGTACGCCTCAGTTGTTGCTAGTGAAATCAACATCATGAATTCTCTCAAACACCCGCACATAATCGAATTGTTCCACGTGTTCCAATCAAGAGATACCACCTTCTTAGTGATGGAGCACGCATCAGGGGGAGATCTTTATCGATACATTATGGAACAGAGGTGCTTACGTGAGAGCGAGGCACGGAGGCTATTTACCCAGATTGTCCTTGCAGTGCAATACTGCCACAACAACCAGATTGCCCATAGGGACATTAAGGCTGAGAACATACTACTTGACATCATGGGCAACGCAAAACTTTGCGATTTTGGCCTTGCAGCAAAGGTGCCCCCAGGGGACCTGCTGACAGACTTCTGTGGTACCCCGATCTACTGTGCCCCAGAAATTTATTTTCGCGAAGCCTATGATGGTTTTGCTGCTGATGTATGGAGTTTGGGAGTGCTCCTATACCTCATGGTGGTTGGGCGCTTTCCCTTCTGGGCCAGGTCTCCTGAAGGTCTGAGACGACAGATTCTCGACTCAAAATACAGCATACCTGAGCATATTTCCACCGATATTTTCACAGTTATCATACGACTATTGAAGATCTACCCGGGCAGCAGGCCCACAATTGACCAAGTCATGACGTGCCCCATGATCACGGACACCCTTGCGCGTTTGCCTCCTTCCACACAGAGACTCCCAGGCACCCTGACCCCTGGTAGAATTGTCAGCAGCATGACGGTCATGGGTTATAAGTCTGAGGAAAACATTCATTCCCTGAGAGAACAAAAGGACAAACAGGTGATGGCCACTTACCTGATTCTCAAACACGAGTCTTCTGTGGGAGATAGCTGCCATCAGCCGGTGAAACCCAGGCAGTCAGGCCTTGTCCTCAACCTGGGAGATCGTCACACCTTCCCTGTGCCCCTAAGGAGAGCTACTGAGCCTGCGCCCCTGGCCTTCACCATGTCATGCAGTCTTCAGGAGACAGAGCATGAGAACAATGCCAGGCAGGGTGGCACAAGGCATAGCATGCCTGCCACCCTATGCCACCTGTCAGAGAGGCCCCAACCTCCACACCTAGTGGTCCAGAACGGGCACAGTTCTCTTGACCTTACACGCAGTAGGGTGGTAATGAGCCAGAGTTCCTCTGAGTCAAAGATCGGGTCACATGTCAGCCCCAATGACAGTGTTCACTCATCACTGTTCTTAATGTTCAATGATTCTTGCTGCCCAGACCCCAAGGAGACCACATGTAACACAGGCAGTGTATCTTCCTGGAGTTATCAAGAGGAACTCTGCAGCTCCTTAGACACAGCTCAGAGTGTAACTTCCAGAGGCCCCTCCTCTGGGGATACCAGGATGGGAGACTCCATGATACACGAGGAAGTCATTTATGAGGACCTGAACAACACACAGGAAGAGGCCGTCACACCAGAAGTGACCAATACTCAGGATGAGACCATAACAGAAGAAAGGACCAGGGTCGATGATGTGAACATGACTCACACTGAGGCCGTCATAGAGGAAAATATAATGGAGGAGGAGGACATGCATCGGGAAGCAAATATCAGCCTGGAAGTGAGGAGGACCCAGGCAGGGCATAAGACTCAGGATGACAGCATCACAGAGGAGGAGGCCATCACCCACGGCCAGCCTGAGGTTGCCGTCCAGGCTTCCTCCCCAATCCTGAGGCGCCACAGGTGGAAGGGGTTCAAGAAAACAATGGTGAACTGCCTCAGACACCTCAGCTGCTGCTTGCCACCTGCCAGGAGAAGCCACGACGCTTGTCAGAACCTGGCTCCAAAGAAACGGGATCATGGAGTCAGTCACAGAGCCTGGTGGCGACCGGCCTGCTGCACCGGTGAGGAGTACCTCCTGCCTGACTATAACATGATGAAGACCCTCGGCCAGGGAAATTTTTCAAAGGTGAAGCTGGCCATCCACATTCCTACTGTAACCTATGTGGCTGTAAAACTTATCAGAAATGATAAGGAGTACGCCTCACGTTGTTGCTAGTGAAATCAACATCATGAAATCTCTCAAGCACCCGCATATAATCGAATTGTTCCACGTGTTCCAATCAAGAGATACCACCTTCTTAGTGATGGAGCACGCATCAGGGGGAGATCTTTATCGATACATTATGGAACAGAGGTGCTTACGTGAGAGCGAGGCACGGAGGCTATTTACCCAGATTGTCCTTGCAGTGCAATACTGCCACAACAACCAGATTGCCCATAGGGACATTAAGGCTGAGAACATACTACTGGACAGCATGGGCAACGCAAAACTTTGCGATTTTGGCCTTGCAGCAAAGGTGCCCCCAGGGGACCTGCTGACAGACTTTTGTGGTACCCCGATCTACTGTGCCCCAGAAATTTATTTTCGCGAAGCCTATGATGGTTTTGCTGCTGATGTATGGAGTTTGGGAGTGCTCCTATACCTCATGGTGGTTGGGCGCTTTCCCTTCTGGGCCAGGTCTCCTGAAGGTCTGAGACGACAGATTCTCGACTCAAAATACAGCATACCTGAGCATATTTCCACCGATATTTTCACAGTTATCATACGACTATTGAAGACCTACCCGGGCAGCAGGCCCACAATTGACCAAGTCATGACGTGCCCCATGATCACGGACACCCTTGTGCGTTTGCCTCCTTCCACACAGAGACTCCCAGGCACCCTGACCCCTGGTAGAATTGTCAGCAGCATGACGGTCATGGGGTATAAGTCTGATGGAAAACATTCATTCCCTGAGAGAACAAAAGGACAAACAGGTGATGGCCACTTACCTGATTCTCAAACACGAGTCTTCTGTGGGAGATAGCTGCCATCAGCAGGTGAAACCCAGGCAGTCAGGCCTTGTCCCCAACCTGGGAGGTCGTCACACCTTCCCTGTGCCCCTAAGGAGAGCTACTGAGCCTGCGCCCCTGGCCATCACCCCGTCATCCAGTCTTCCGGAGACAGAGCATGAGAACAATGCCAGGCAGGGTGGCACAAGGCATAGCATGCCTGCCACCCTATGCCACCTGTCAGAGAGGCCCCAACCTCCACACCTAGTGGTTCCAGAACGGGCACAGTTCTCTTGACCTTACACGCAGTAGCGTGGTAATGAGCCAGAGTTCCTCTGAGTCAAAGATCGGGTCACATGTCAGCCCCAATGACAGTGTTCACTCATCACTGTTCTTAATGTTCAATGATTCTTGCTGCCCAGACCACAAGGAGACCACATGTAACACAGGCAGTGTATCTTCCTGGAGTTATCAAGAGGAACTCTGCAGCTCCTTAGACACAGCTCAGAGTGTAACTTCCAGAGGCCCCTCCTCTGGGGATACCAGGATGGGAGACTCCATGATACACGAGGAAGTCATTTATGAGGACCTGAACATCACACAGGAAGAGGCCGTCACACCGGAAGTAACCAATACTCAGGATGAGACCATAACAGAAGAAAGGACCAGGGTCGATGATGTGAACATGACTCACACTGAGGCCGTCATAGAGGAAAAGAATATAATGGAGGAGGAGGACATGCATCGGGAAGCAAATATCTCCCTGGAAGTGAGGAGGACCCAGGCAGGGCATAAGACTCAGGATGACAGCATCACAGAGGAGGAGGCCATCACCCACGGCCAGCCTGAGGTTGCCGTCCAGGCTTCCTCCCCAATCCTGAGGCGCCACAGGTGGAAGGGGTTCAAGAAAACAATGGTGAACTGCCTCAGACACCTCTGCTGCTGCTTGCCACCTGCCAGGAGAAGCCACGATGCCTGTCAGAACCTGGCTCCAAAGAAACGGGATCCTGGAGTCACCCACAGAATCAGGTGGGGACACTTACTTTATTTTACTCATTCTTTGCCTCCTGTCCTTTGTGACAGACGAAGACTATGCCCACTTGTGGCCCACTTGTTTTGTTTTCCTTTATTTAATTTAAGATAGGAAACAAGCTTGTTTCTCATGTCAACCACATATCCCTCCCCTCCCCTCCTGCAACCCCCCCACACACACCAGACTCCTCCAGTCCCCCAACCAATCTCTACTCTGATCCCAAGTGAGTGTGAGATCCTCTATTGTGGCACACTTGTGAACTTAAGAACCTGTTCCTTCAGAAAGACCAACCCCAGAGGATGCCCTCCAGTGTGACCTCAGGCTTGTTGAGGTAGAATTGGACAGCAGAGATGCTGATCAAAGCAGGCAGAGGGATGCTTAGGTGCTGCATCGTCAGCACAGTAAGTTCTATGTGTGCCAAAGTTACTAAGTGTCTGCTTCCTCTTTCTTTCTGCTTTGTAGTTCTGAAGTGGTCAAGGCCCAGCTCCGTGGCTTATGAGCCACGGGTTGGGGATCGGCCTGGCTGAGGTGTGGACAATCCCGCAGGAGAGCGAGGCCAGACATCCAGGAGGCAGTGTGTCCACAGGCTCCTCCTGCAGAGGAAGAACAGCTGTCCACACCAGCTGAGCTCTCACCAGGTGAAATCCCAGGCGGGAAGGGCAGGCTTTACATGGGGTCTTTCTTGTTCAGAGGGCAGGGCAGAGTTACAAAGGTGGCCCAGGCTGTGTTGTGGAACAATAGACCCTTCCCCTCTCCCCTGCCTGGGTAAACATCACAGACTGCACTCTGGGTAATGACTGTCCTTGGCTCCTTGTTTCCTGGCAGAGAACATGATCTTCTCCATGGGGTGGCCCTTTTCACCCCAGGGAGAGTATTCCTAGTTAGCCAGTCTCATCATCCCCAAGATGGGCTCTCAGGTTGAGAATCTGGCCTGCAGGAGGCCCTATATAGAATGCTCTAGAGGGCAACCTCCTGCCAAACACTTGCAAAAACCTGCAAACATCCTGAGTCCTCAGACCCCACTCAGAGCAAAACTTGGAAATTCTCATCTGGGGAGTGACTCAAGGGCAGCCGATTCCTCTCTCTCCACCACTTCTGCCCTCTAGTTACTCACCAGCTGCCTCTCCATGCTTGCTTCTTCAAGGCCGTCATTCACTTTGAGAACTGGATGCCGAACTCAACACCACTTGCCTCAGCGTGAGGGGATGATGGGTGTCCTGAACATGGAAAAACTGAAACTTTCAAGAGGGGCCAGCAACCTGCTGTAGGCTCTGCCTAGTGCCAGCCACAGTGTGCTCTCTGCCGCTCGGTGGTTGCTTCTTTGTATTTGACTTTCAACTCTTTGGAAAGACATTTTTAACCGAATCTGAGAAGGAAGGAGTGTCTTTTTCTACTCTGAGGTTGCACGAGCACCCCAGAACCCTATGCTTTCCTAACCACCATCTACAGCCCTGGGAAAGGAGATTCCCCAGGATCCTGTTCTGGCCTCAGCCACTGGACCAGGCTGAGCTGCTCAGACACCCCTGAGGAAGACTTCTCAGGGCACTTTGTCATGCCTGGGAGGAAGATCTGACTTGACATTTTGATAATAGTAACAAAACTATATTGTTCACCTGCCCCCCATCCACTGGAACATGGAGGCCCTGGTGAGACTTTTCCCTTCTCTCTCTCTCTCTCTCTCTCTCTCTCTCTCTCTCTCTCTCTCTCTCTCTCTCTCTCTCTCTCTCTCTCTGTCTGTCTGTCTGTCTCTCTCTCTCTCAAATTTCTCTGCCTCCATCTCTGTCTCTGTGTGTTGTGTCTACTTATACATGAACAACTTCCATGCAGGTGAGCTGCTCTGTCTTAATCTGGATCTGAAAAGAATCACTATTTCCTGAAGAAGGCCATGAACAGCAATCACTAATACAAACATAAAATTGGCATTGACTGGAGTAGATACAGAAATTATAACTCAGACCTGAAACCTTGAATCACCCACTTAAAAAGAAACGAATCACAGAAGTATGCTAAGGGAGCCCATTCTGTCTCCAACCCAAGATGGAAATTGTCTTTCATTCCCTGACAGTAGTGCTAAGATGTCACATGCACAATTCCATCTTAATTTCTGACATTTGTTTCTGTCCACATTGTTTGGTAGGAATAGTATTGCCCCAACTCTTTTCTTGTGTTGGCTGTAAAGTTCACACAGAGTCTTGCCCTGTAACTGGGGAGGACTGAGTGCTCTGTGTTGTCCACGCTGGATTTATTTCCCTGTGGTGCTGCAGACTCAGTCCTCCTTAGGTGCACTGGAACGCTGCTAGCATTTGTGGTTTAGTCTCGATCTCTTCTGTCCCAGGCAGGCCGCTCTGTAGGAAAAGATGACTTGGAGCAGTATCTTCGTCTTCTTCTCCAACTCCCCAAGCCAGAATTTCCGGGTCTGAACCCCTCTGCCCTGTCAAGTAGAAGCAGCTCAGGGCCAGTGTAGGGAGTTCCGGGCTGAGTGTAGCCCATCACAAAGAACATGCACATTTTGAATATTTGAAGTCTGAGATGTGGACACTGGCGCTGGGAGCTGTGTGAATGAAAAGATAAGCAGGAATGGCAGCTTGCTGGCCTGGGATCAGTGAGACCCTCATGTGAAAAGTAAGGTGGATGCCCATGGGCCCGGAGCCCCCTTTGAACCCAGGACTGTGGGTTGGGGAGGTAGCCTGATCTCTGTGAATTCTGGGCTACAGAGAGAGTTCAGGCACAGCCAGGTATACACAGAGACACCCTGTCTCAAAAAGCAAACAAGAGAATTAAGGTGTAAAGGCACTGGATGAATACTTCTGGTCTACACACGTACTCAAAGGGTGAGAACAGACAGACAGACACGACCACATATACATACACAACCATACAAACATACACACACATACTCATTATGTACAATTCAGCAATCCTGCCTTACCTGTTTTTCCTCAATACTGTCTAGACCCTATATTCCTGGGATTTTATTGTCATTTCCAAAATTCCTGACTCTTAAACCCCACAGTGACATAACTATCAGTCCCCTCAAATGAGAAACCTTTTTTCCCCTCTCCTCTTATGCTGACACAGGTTTTCTGTATGCAGTCCAGGCTGCCAAGGACTGGCGGCCTCCTACCACTGGCCAACTGAGTGTTGGGGCTTCAGGTCAGAACCTAATCCCATTGGGTTTTGTGGTTTTGTTTTTAAAAGACGCAAGCAGGTGTAGATATTCTTAAATTTTGAATCTTTCCATCTCCATGTACCAAACGCAGGGATTCCAGTAATTCTCCACCAAGTCTGGTTTATTTTGTCCTCTGGACAAACCCAGGGTTTCTTGTATGCTGGGCAAGAGCTGTCCCAACTGAGTCACACCTGTATCTCAGCCTATCTGGGGATACACAGTGTAGCTGAGGAAGATCTGGAGTTCTGGATCATTCCTATGGAATTACAGAACTGGACCATTGCCCTGCATTTTCTCTTTTACCATTTCTAGATGACCTATCTTTCTACTGAGAATCTTTTGAAGGACTGAAAAAAAAGAGCTGTGACCAGACACCACTTTTCTTCTGAAGCTGGTGAGTTGGGACCTGGGTGGGAGGGAGGTAAAGGAAGCTGTCCCCATCCCATGCCATGTCAAGGACACTCAGGTCAGTGTGCAGCAGCCCAGGTCATCACCTGTGTAGCCAGGTATCCTTGAAGCCCCGTTCTGATCAGCAGCCCTCAGGTTGGGCCGGAATGGAAGGCAGAAGACTCTCCAGTGCATGTCCACAGCAGCAGCTGATGACAGTAGGAAGATGGAGCTTCAACCCCACTGCTTGAAGGTTTAGTGCCCTCGCCCCTGGGGTCTCATTCCCTCCCATTTGCCCTTTCTAGGCACTTTGTGGCAGAGCAAGGGTGAAGGAGTATGCCAATTCCAGAACTCTGGAGGCTTAGATTGTAGACTTGCCATAGACTCAAGGCAAGCCTGGGCTATATAAGGCCAGTAGTCTAGCTTTGGCGGCAGTGTGAGATCTCTCTCTGAAAACAGAATGTGACCAGGAGGACTAGGGATCAGTGCGTCCAGCCTGCAGAGTGATTCTTGGTCTTGGGTTCTTTCCCAGCACAAATTACAACCAGGTGGAGCTTCCCTGATATTGGGGGTAGAGACAAGAGGATCAGGCAGTCAAGGCCATCTTCCAAAGCAGAGAGTTTGAGGCCAGTCTAGGAGGAATGACACTATGTTCAATAAGCAATCCCAACTCCCAAATCTAAATGCCCATATCTGAGAAAAGAATGCCATGGAAGCCCATCACAACCTCATATTCCTGGTGAATCAGAATGCCTTTCCCATGGAGACATGAAACCAGAGCATCCAGAGGTGATTCACATCTGGAATTGGCCTGAGCATTGAGTCATCGCCTGTGCACTGCACTAAGGAGCTGTTCAGGAAGTACTTCCTACTGGTCATGTGGGAGGAGTGAGGAGGGAGGCATGGAGGGCATGGAGACTCCCTCCTGTGCCAATGAGAAAGGCAGAATGCAGCTGGCTCTTGAAGCTGTGAGACACTCTGATGTTTTGCCGCCCCCTAGTGGCCGCTCTAAGCCTGTTCCCTGTTAGGGCACCTGATCTGAGGCAGTCCCTGCTTCAACTCAGGACAAGATTGTGGTGGTTAGGTGGCTTTCAGAACGGGGTCGAGGCAGGCTTACCCTGCTAAACCCATCTAACATGCTTTTGTCCTTCCTTCTTTCATTGCTTTTTCCCATTTATGATTACAGACAAAATAGCTTTCAGAGTTGGGCTGTCCAGATGTCCCTGAACAAATTTCATAGACCCACTGCTGCTCCTGGACCTGCACTCCACAATGGAGATGACTGGGTTGCGAGTAAAGTCAGTAAAATCCACACCTGGGTGAGATTCAGAAGCACAGGAGGGCTGGGACCGTGCCTGTCTGTCCACAATACAGTGCCTGCTTTCGTTGTGAGATATGAGTTCTTTCCCCAGAAAGCGAGGGGAAATCCAGCAGGCTGGCTGAGGCTTCTTACCCCAGCACTTGAGATGGAGACAGGTGCATGTCCTTTCTGTTTTGTTTTATTATGTTTTTGAGACAGGGTTTTTCTGCCTGTCTCTGTCTCTCTAGAGCAGACTGGCCTTTGTCTCACTGACATTTGCCACAAACACCACCCTCTTGGCTGCAGGTGCTTCAACCTTGCTGGACTTGAGCAAGCCTGTGTCCAAAACACAAGGTGTACAGCATCTCAGAGTTGACATTTGACGGAATACATGTGCTACATACTTAAAGTTGGAGAATACACATGGATATATACAAGCACACAGATGCACAAGCACACAACTGTAAACATATTACAGGTGAGTGTATCTGCGCGCGCGCGCGCACACACACACACACACACACACACACACACACACACACCAAAGTAAGCATAGTGATAAAGAAGCACAAAGTTATCTGAAGGACCAGGTAGCATTTGGAAGTCCTGACCTTCATGCAGCAGCATCCTGATGGGAAAACCATGAGAGTGAGACAGGGTGATGCTGCTGAGAACACTGGGGTGGTCCTCTCTGGATGCTAGGTGATGACAGAGCCCAGCAAGCCAAGCTTTTGGGATGCTTATTACTGACCAGCAGATACGGGAGGTGGGCTGACAAGGTGTTCCCAGCGTTGTTAGCACTTGTGTCACCTAATGTCTCTGCTCTCTGCAGCTTGGGGCTATCAAAAGCCAGTGGAGATGCCCCTGCACTAGAAGAAGACCACCTCCATCAACTCTACTAGCACCCCCATATCATTGCATTATGTTTGTTAAGTTGGAAATAAATTGTGTTGTTTAATGAGGTTTTGTTTATTTTTAATCTGTGTTTATTCTCTGTTTCCATACCAATCCCAGTTCACCCTCCCTCCCCTCCTCCTGCTTCCTACATTTACCCATCCCAACTTGCATCTTCTCCTCAGAGAGGGTATGGACTCCCATGGGGAGTCAATGTGGTCTGTCACATCACCAACTTGAGGCTGGACCAAGGCCCACACCGCTGTGTCTAGGCTGGGCAAGGTATGTCTCCATAGGGACTGTGCTCCAAAAATCCAGTTCATGCACAGGGATAAATCCTATTCCTACTGCCTTTGGCCCACAATTACTGCTCATGCCACACCACGATCAACTGCATTGAGGGGCCCTAGATCAGTGCTAAGCAGGTTTCCCAGCTGTCTGTGTGGAGACAGTGAGCTCCTGCTAGCTCAGGTCTGCTGTTTCTGTGATTTTCTCCCATCCTGGTTTGACCCCTTTGCTCATATTAGCATTCCATTCCTCCCTTTCTTTCACTGGTCTCCAGAAGCTCAGGCCAGTGGTTAATTGTGGATCTCTGTGGTTTCTTGCTCATCCATAATGTCTCTCTCTGTCATAGCATATCTCTCTTGCTCTCCTACCCTGTCCTTCCCCATAACTGACCACCCCATTACGTCATGTTCTCCTCCTCAGTCCCCTTCCCTCCTCCCCTCTCACTTTCTACCATGCTCCCAATTTACTCAAGAGATCTTCTCCATTTCCCTTCCTAGGCAGATCCATATATGTCCCTTCAGGGTCCTCTTTGCTACCTAGCTTCTCTGGGCTGGTGGATTGTAGACTGGTTGGTTCCTATTTAATATCTAATATCCACTTATGAGTGAATATGCCATATTAGTCCTCACTCAAGATGTTTTTTTCTACTTCCATCCGTTTGCCTGTAATACTCAAGATGGCTTTAGTTTTGTTTTCCTTTGCTTTTACCACTGAGTATGCTTCATTGTGTAAATGTACCACAACTTCTTTATGCATCCTAAGGGCATCTAGGTTGTTTTTAAGGTTCTGACTATTACAAATAATGCTATGAACACAGTTGACCAAATGCCCCTGTGGTGTGGTGTGCATCTTTTGGGTATATGACCAAAAGTGGTATTCTTGGTGACAAGGCTAGTCAATGCAATATGGAAATTGATATATTTATTTACCAGAGAAAGAACTTACACACAAGCTGGAAGATCAGAAGTTTGGCAGGGTTCCAAGTAAAATTCTTTTTTTAAATGTATTTTTAAGTTTAAATTTAGATTAGAAACAAGGTTGCTTCACAAGTCAGTTCCAGGTCCCTCTCCCTTTCCCTCCCCTCCTCCCGTGCCCTAACCCAGCCCTCCCATTATCCCCTCATTTCCCCAGGGAGGGTGAGGCCCTCCATGGGGGTGTCCACAGTCTGTGTTTTCATCCAGGGCAGGGCCTAGACCCTCCCCCAAGAGTTCGGGGTGAGAGTGCATCTCACATTGTTGGGTGGGAGTCCAATGTCTGTGTGTATACTCAGGATGAGTACTGCTCTACTTCCCAAGGCTCCATAGATTGCCTAGGCCTCCTCACTGACACCCACATTCAGGGGGTCTTGATAGGTCCTATGCTGGATTCTCAGGCTGATGCCTGCAATTCAAGAGTTAACCTTTGTCAGGTCAGCTGTTTCTGGGGGTTAAACCAGCCCAGTCTTAATCCCTTTGGTCATTAGTCCTCCCTCTCTGTTACTGGCTTTCTTGCATTCAGCTCAGTGCTTAGCCGTGGGAGTCTGCCTCTTCTTCCATCAGCCACTGAATGAAGGTTCTGTTTCCCAGACTCTCTGGCCATGGGATTATAGGCTGTCACTCCACAGATCTATGTCTAAAATCCATATATGAGAGAGTACATGCCATGTTTCTCTTTTTGAGACTGTGTTACCTCACTCAGGATAGTTTCTTCTAGTGTCATCCATTTGCCTGCAAATCTCAGGATTCCATTGTTTTTTTCTGCTGAATAGTACTCCATTGTGTAAATGTACCACATTTTCTCCATCCACTCTTTGGTTGAGGGGCATCTAGGTTGCTTCCAAGTTCTGGTTATTACAAATAATGCTGCTATGAACATAGTGGAACAGACATCCTTGTTATATGAATGGGCCTCTTTTGGATACATGCCTAAGAGTGGAGTTGCTGGGTCTTGTGGTAGGTTTATTCCCATTTTTCTGAGGAATCTCTATACTGATTTCCAAAGCGGCTGAACAAGTTGGCACTCCCATCAGCAATGGAGGAGTGTTCCCCTTTCACCACATCCACTCCAGCATAAATTGTCGTTGGTGTTTTTGATTTTAGCCATTCTGACAGGAGTGAGATGGTATCTCAGAATTGTTTTGACTTGCATTTCCCGGATGGCTAAGGATGTTGAGCACTTTCTCAAGTGCCTCTCAGCCATTTTAGTCTCCTCTATTGAAAATTTTCTATTTAGTTGTGCAGCCCACTTTTTAATTGGATCCTTTGGTGTTTTGGAGACTTGCTTCTTGAGTTCTTTGTAAATTTTGGAGATCAGCCCTCTGTCAGATGTGGGGTTAGTGAATATTTTTTCCCATTCTGTGGGCTGCTTTTTGTCTTGCTGACTGTGTCCTTTGCCTTACAGAAGCTTCTCAGTTTCAGGAGGTCCCATTTATTAATTATTGATCTCACTGTCTGTGCTAGTGGTGTTATGCCCCGGAAGCTGCCTCCTGTACCAATTCGTTCAAGGGTACCACCAACTTTCTCTTCTAAGAGGGTCAGTGTGGCTGGATTCATGTTGAGGTCTTTGGTCCATTTGGACTTAAGTTTTGTGCACGGCGATAGACATGGATGGATCTGCATTCTTCTACATGCCAGCCTCCAGTTATGCCAGCACCATGTGTTGAAGATGCTTTCTTTTTTCCATTGTATATTTTTAGCTTCTTTGTCAAAAATCAGATGTTCATACATGTGTGGGTTAATACCCGGGCTTTCAATTCGATTCCATTGGTCTACCTGTCTATTTTTGTGCCAATACCAAGCTGTTTTCAGGACTATAGCTCTGTAATAGAGCTTGAGGTCAGTAATGGTGATGCCTCCGGACATTGCCTTGTTGAACAGGGTTGTTTTGGCTATCCTGGGTATTTTGTTTTTTCCATACAAAATTGATTATTATTCTTTCAAGGTCTGTGAAGAATTGTGCTGGGATTTTAATGGGGATTGCATTATATCTGTAGATTGCTTTTGGTAGGATTGCCATTTATAATACGTTGATCCTACCTATCCAAGAGCATGGGAGATCTTTCCATTTTCTGAGGGCTTCTTTAATTTCTTTCTTTAAAGATTCAAAGTTCTTGTGATACAGGTCTTTCACTTGTTTGGTTAGCGTTACCCCAAGGTATTTTATGTTGTTTGTGCCAACTGTAAAGGGTGATGTTTCTCTGATTTCTTTCTCAGCCCTTTTATCATCTGTATATAGTAGGGCTACTGATTTTCTTGAGTTTATCTTGTAGCCTGCCAGTTTGCTGAAGGTGTTAATCAGCTGTAAGAGTTCCCTGGTAGAGCTCTTTCGGTCATTGATGTAAACTATCATATCATCTGCAAACAGTGAAAGTTTGCCCTTCCCAATTTGTATCCCCTTGGTCCCCCTTTGTTGTCGTATGGCAATGGCTAGAACTTCAAGTACCATGTTGAAAAGGTATGGAGAGAGTGGACAGCCTTGTTTTATTCATGATTTTAGAGGAATTGCTTTGAGTTTCTCTCCATTTAGTTTGATGTTAGCTGTTGGTTTACTGAATATTGCTTTTATTATATTCAGGTACGTTCCTGTTATCCCTGATCTCTCTAGGACCTTTATCATGAAGGGGTGCTGGATTTTGTCAAAGGCTTTTTCAGCATCTAGTGAGATGATCATGTGGTTTTTCTTTTGCAGTTTGTTAATATGGTGGATTACATTGATAGATTTTCTAATGTTGAACCATCCCTGCATTCCTGGGATGAAGCCTACTTGATCATGGTGGATGATTTTTCTGATGTGTTCTTGAATCCGGTTTGCGAGTATTTTATTGAGTATTTTTGCATCGATGTTCATGAGGGAAATTGGTCTATAGTTCTCTTAGTTGTGTCTTTCTGTGGCTTGGTATCAAGGTAATTGTAGCCTCGTAGAAAGAGTTTGGCAGTGAGCCTCCTGCTTCTATTGTGTGGAATACTTTGAGGAGTATTGGAATTAGCTCTTCTTTGAATTTCTGGTAGAATTCTGCACTGAAGCCATCTGGGCCTGGGCTTTTTTTGTTTGGGAGACTTTTGATGACTGCTTCTATTTCATTAGGGGTTATAGGTCTGTTTAGATTGTTTATCTGTTCTTGATTTAGTTTTGGCAAGTGATATCTATCCAGGAAATTGTCCATTTCCTTTAAATTTTCAAATTTTGTGGAGTACAGATTTTCAAAGTATGCCCTGATGATTCTCTGGATTTCCTCAGAGTCCGTTGTTATTTCCCCTTTTTCATCCCTGATTTTGTTAATTAGCATGCTCTCTCTCTGTCTTTTGGTTAGTTTGGACAGAGGTTTGTCTATTTTGTTGATTTTCTCAAATAACCAACTCTTTGTTTCATTGATTCTTCTCAGTGTTTTCCTGGTTTCTACTTGATTGATTTCAGCCCTCGATTTGATTATTTCCTGGCGTCTGCTCCTCCTGGGGGAGTTTGCTTCTTTTTGTTCTAGAACATTCAGCTGTGCTATTAATTCTCTAGTATGACTGTTCTCCAATTTTTTCATGTGGGCACTTAGTGCTATAAACTTTCCTCTCAGCACTGCTTTCAAAGTGTCCCATAAGTTTGTGTATGTTGTGTCTTCATTCTCATTGAAATCGAGGAAGTCTTTAATTTCTTTTTTATTTGTTCCTTTACCCAGGGATGGTGCAATTGTGCATTGTTCAATCTGCATGAGTTTGTAGGGTTTCTGCGATTTGTGTTATTGTTGAATTCTAATGTTAATGCATGGTGGTCTGATAAGATGCAGGGGGTTATTCCAATTTTTTTGTACCTGTGGAGATTTGCTATGTTTCCTATTATGTGGTCAATTTTAGAGAAGGTTCCATGTGGTGCCGAGAAGAAGGTATATCCCTTTGTATTTGGGTGGAACGTTCTATAGATGTCTGTTAAACCCAGTTGGGTCATAACTTCTATTAGTTCTTTTGTTTCTTTGTTAAGTTTCTGTCTGGAGGTCTTGTCTAGCGGTGAGAGCGGAGTGTTGAAGTCTCCTACTATTAGTGTGTGAGATTTTATGTGCATTTTGAGCTTTAGTAATGTTTCTTTCACGAATGTAGGTGCCTTTGTATTTGGGGCGTAGATGTTTAAAATTGAGACTTCGTCTTGATGTACTTTTCCTTTGATGAATATGAAGTGTCCTTCTTCATCTCTTTTGATTGATTTTAATTTGAAGTCTAATTTGTTAGATATTAGGGTTGCTACGCCCACTTGTTTCTTGGGACTGTTTGATTGGAAGATCTTTTCCCAACCCTTTACTCTGAGATAACGTCTGTCTTTGATGTTGAGATGTGTTTCTTGTATGCAGCAGAAGGAAGAGTTCTGTCTTCGTATCCATTCTGCTAGTCTGTGTCTTTTTATAGGCAAGTTGAGGCCGTTGACATTGAGGGATATTAATGACCATTGATTGATGATACTTGTTTGTGCTTGATTTATTGTTAGTGAAGTTATTTTGTGTACTTTCTCCTCCCTTTTTCTTTTGGTGTTTGTAAAGTGGGATTATATATTGCCTGTGTCTTTGTGAATGTAGTTATCTTCCTTGGATCTAGGTTTTCCTTCTAGCATTTTCTGTAGAGCTGGATTCATGGATACGTATTGTTTAAATCTGGGTTTGTCATGGAATATTTTGTTTTCTCCATCTATGGTAATTGAGAGCTTTGCTGGATATAGTAGTCTGGGCTGGCATCCTTGTTCCCTTAGCGCTTGTAGGACATCTTTCCAGGATCTTCTGGCTTTCATCGTTTCCATTGAGAAGTCAGGTGTAATTCGGATAGGTCTGCCTTTGTATGTTACTTGGCCTTTTTCTTTAGCTGCTCTTAATATTTTCTCTTTACTCTGTAGGTTTGATGTTTTGATTATTATATGGTGAGGTGACTTCTTTTTCTGGTCCAGCCTATTTGGTGTTCTGTAAGATTCTTGTATTTTCATAGGCATATCTTTCTTTAGGTTAGGGAAGTTTTCTTCTATGATTTTGTTGAATATGTTTTCTGTACCTTTGAGTTGTATTTCTTCGCCTTCTTCTATACCTATTATTCTCAGGTTTGGTTCTTCATGGTGTCCCATATTTCCTGGATATTTTGTGTTAAGGATTTGTTGGTTTTGAGATTTTCTTTGATTGACGACTCTATATCCTCTAATGAGTCTTCAACACCTGAGATTCTCTCTTCTATCTCTTCTATTCTATTGGTGATACTTGCATCTGTAGTTCCTGATCGTTTACCCAGCTTTTCTATTTCCAGCATCCCTTCATTCTGTGTTTTCTTGATCGTTTCTATGTCAGCTTTCAATCCTTCAACTGTTTGAGTTGTTTCCTTAATTTTTTTGGTTGTTTTTTCTTGGTGCTCTTTAGATTCTTTGAGAGATTTATTTATTTCTTGAAATTTTCCCCCATTTCATGGATTTTTTGTTTTTTCTTCTATTTCTTTAAGGGATTTCCTCGTTTCTTCTTTGAGGGTCTCCATCATCTTCATGAAATAATTTTTAAGGTCTGTCTCCTCTTCTTCATCTTTGTAGCGCTTTTCGGGTCTTGCTGGTGTTGGATCCCTAGATTCTGGTGGGGTCATGTTGGTGTTTCTATTGCTGAGTGAGCTCTTATTCTGTCTTCTTCCCATCTCTTCTTCCAGTGGGTGTTGGTGGGGTCTTTCTGTCTCCACTGGTCTCCTTCCTTCCTGCAGCTGAAGCTGGGGTTGCTGACACGGAGTTTGGGTCCTGGAAGGGCTGATGTTTTTCCTGAAGCTGGACTTGCTGGGGTTGGGGTCTTGGAATGGCTGATGTCTTTGCTGTGTGGGCGGGTCTTCTGGATGCCAGGATCGTTCCCGGAAGATCAAGGGGATGGGTGTTGGGCAGGGGGTCCTGCCGGAGACCCAATCTCACCTGAAGCTCAAACTGATGGTTCTTAATATTCTCATTCAGCTTCCCTGGAGACATCCACTAAAGGAAGAGAGGCTTCCATATCAGAAGCATAGTATTTCAATATGCAAATAGTGTTAAAATTACTGAGAAAGGCCAAATCATAGCCTACTGGAACTGTCTTCAGGTTAAAGCCTTGTAGAAGCAACACAATTACAGCATGGGTGTTGGCATAAAAAAGAAACAGGCAACAGAGGAAACGGTGTGGACCAAATGCTAATTCAATTTGAAAATACATGCTGCCTGTATATAAGGGAACTTTATAAGCTAAAATGTTTGAAAGGATTCTTAATTAATTTCTTCCCAAATAACTTCTCCATTGTCACAGTCTTCATTTTCAACTGAACTATGAAATTCTAAGTTACCAAGTAATGGCATGAGCTTACCAGATGCCATGTAAGCTTTGAGTCATAGACCAATATTGTGTTCTCCTTTTCAAGGCTATGGGATTTACTTAAGCAGTAGGTATCTAACACAAAAGAGTATCTGATGACTGCTCAAATAGTACAGAATTTTTAATCTTTCCACAGATAATATAGCATAATTGTGACTTGTTGAATCACCCTATACTTTCAGAATATAATCTACCCTGTAAAATGTTCCATATATATACATACATATATGTATATATATAAATGTATATACATATATACTCATAAGCAAATATATGATCTGTCTTCATAAATATTATTGCTTTGTATTTTTAATTTCCTAATAGTAGGCATGGATTATATATCGATAGGAAAGGACTACCACTCTAATAAATTTGTTTCTGCCTTTATCACCCAGGGTGGTTTGAATGAAAATGGCCCTATCAGCTCCTAAGTTTGAATTCTTGGTCCCATTAGGAGGGGTGGCTTTGTTGGAGGAAGTGTGGCCTTGGATAAGGTATGCCACTGTTACTGAGATTTGAGGTTTAAAAGCCCACACGAGGCTCTGTCTTTCTGCCTGCAACTTACAGATCTCAAGTGAGTTCTCAGCAAATGCTTTAGCACCAATCTTGCCTGATGCCAAACTCACCAACATAATGATCATAGAGCAGCACGCTGAAAATGCAAGCAAGCCCACAATTAAGTACTTCTTTTGTAAGTTTCCTTTGGCATGATGTTTCATTATACAGTAGGAGACTAATGAGACACTGCTTTCACTGCATGATTAGTAAATTAAAACTGGAATCGCCCAATCAGAAGAATAGTACACTTCAAGAGTAGTTATCATGGAGCTATGACACCAGTATCTCAGAAAGTGCTAATGTGTTCCAGAACTATCAAGGCAGAAACCATGGCAAAGCAGTATAGAAATGGGATGGTTTCGATACAGTATTACTTGTGGGATTGTTGAGTTCAGAGTGAAGGCTCCTTTCTTGGTCTATAGATCCAAGCTCTATGTTCCTGAGACAGCTACACATAATGTAAGCAGAGTTCACTGGGATCTAACATTACAACTTCTAGCCTTAATGACTGCAACGTACTTTATGTGTAGGTCCACCACCAATGGCAAGACTGAACTCATGGGTGTCTGTAGACCATCTCGCTTCTCCCTCACACTGAAGCAACTGGTCCTGCTCCAACAGCCAGAAAACCAGATGCCGCAATAAAAACAAGTCAAAATTAATATTGTCAGTGAACACATCTCACTAACACATCAGGAGATGCTGCTTTGCAAAAGCAAGTCTCAGCTTTGCATTTGCTCTGGCCAGTCTGCTCCCAAAACCAAGACAATGCCTTCTGCAATGATGGCAGCTGAACAAGGACTCATGCAATGTTTCCCCTGGGAGGTGAGCAATGTGTCATGCAATGTTGCCCTAGGAGGTGAGTAATGTCTCCTGCAATGCTGCCCTGGGAGGTGAGTAATGTCTCCTGCAATGCTGCCCTGGGAGGTGAGTAATGTCTCATGCATTGTTGCCCCTGGGAGGTGAGTAATGTCTCATGCATTGTTGACCCTGGGAGGTGAGTAATGTCTCCTGCAATGCTGCCCTGGGAGGTGAGTAATATGTGTCATGCAATGTTGCCCTAGGAGGTGAGTAATGTCTCCTGCAATTTTGCCCTGGGAGGTGAGTAATGTCTCATGCATTGCTGCCCTGGGAGGTGAGTAATATGTGTCATGCAATGTTGCCCTAGGAGGTGAGTAATGTCTCCTGCAATGCTGCCCTGGGAGGTGAGTAATGTCTCATGCATTGTTGCCCCTCGGAGGTGAGTAATGTGTCATGCATTGTTGCCCCTGGGAGGTGAGTAATGTCTCATGCAATGCTGCCCTGGGAGGTGAGTAATATGTGTCATGCATTGTTGCGCTGGGAGGTGAGTAATGTCTCCTGCAATGTTGCCCTGGGAGGTGAGTAATGTGTCATGCATTGTTGACCCTGGGAGGTGAGTAATGTCTCCTGCAATGCTGCCCTGGGAAGTGAGTAATGTGTCCTGCAATGCTGCCCTGGGAAGTGAGTAATGTGTCCTGCAATGCTGCCCTGGGAGGTGAGTAATGTCTCCTGCAATTCTGCCCTGGGAGGTGAGTAATGTGTCATGCATTGTTGCCCCTGAGAGGTGAGTAATGTGTCATGCATTGTTGCCCCTGGGAGGTGAGTAATGTCTCCTGCATTGTTGCCCCTGGGAGGTGAGTAATGTCTCCTGCAATGCTGCCCTGGGAGGTGAGTAATGTCTCCTGCAATGCTGGCCTGGGAGGTGAGTAATGTGTCATGCATTGTTGCCCCTGGGAGGTGAGTAATGTCTCCTGCAATGCTGCCCTGGGAGGTGAGTAATGTGTCATGCATTGTTGCCCCTGGGAGGTGAGTAATGTGTCATGCATTGTTGCCCCTGGGAGGGGAGTAATGTTTCATGCAATGCTGCCCTGGGAGGTGAGTAATGTGTCATGCATTGTTGCCCCTGGGAGGTGAGTAATATGTGTCATGCATTGTTGCCCCTGGGAGGTGAGTAATGTCTTCTGCAATGCTGCCCTGGGAGGTGAGTAATGTCTCCTGAAATTTTGCCCTGGGAGGTGAGTAATGTCTCCTGCAATGCTGCCCTGGGAGGTGAGTAATGTGTCATGCATTGTTGCCCCTGGGAGGTGAGTAATGTCACCTGCAATGCTGCCCTGGGAGGTGAGTAATGTCTCCTGCAATGCTGCCCTGGGAGGTGAGTAATGTCTCCTGCAATGCTGCCCTGGGAGGTGAGTAATGCCCCCTGCAGTGCTTCCCCTGTGAATGCTGCTGCCTGGAGTTTTCTGAGCCGTGCCTGGGTCTAATTAATGTTTAATTTAAACTATTCTGATTATATGAAAGGGGCAGGTCAGAATAATTTACTAGCATGCATTAGTTGTAACAATATAATGGGTTTCACACTGACATCTTCTTGAATGCTGTTCACATTCTCTTTTCACCTTCACCCCATCATTACATTTTTATCCCTATCTCTGGCTGTCTCACTCTTCCCAAATAACCATCTTCTACTTTCCTTCTCCTTTACTCCCTAGCTTTTCTTCATGAGAGAGAACATGTGGTGTTTGCCTTTCTGAGCCTTTGATTATTTGCCTAACATACAGATCGGCAATCACTTCTCTACAACATGATTTTGCTCTTTAAGCATAAATTCTCTCTCTCTAATTCTATCTCTTTCTCTCCCACCCCTGTGTGTGTGTGTGTGTGTGTGTGTGTGTGTGTGTGTTGAGCTGTTTAGTTTATGACAACTTCACACAAGCCAGAGTCATCTGGGAAATAGCCACCTCAAATGAAAAAAATGCCAGTACCAGACTGACCTGTGTAGTCAAGCCTTGGAAGCATGTTCTCAGATAATGAGTAAGGAGGGAAGGCCTTGCCCATTGTGAACAGCATCCTGGGCAGGTAAACCTGGGCAGTTTTTAAAGGGCGGTGTGAGTAAGCCATGGAGAGCTATCAGTAATCATCAGTGTCCCACTGTGCTGGTGTGTTCCCTGTTGTTGCTACTGCTGCTGTTGCTGGTAACTTGACACAAGCCAGATCATCTGAGAAGGAGCCTCAGTTGAGAAAATGGCCCCATAAGATTAGGCTTAGCAAATCTGCAGAGCATTCTTGATTGGTGGTTGATGTAGAAGAACCCACCCACTGCAGACAGTGCCATCCCTCTGCAGCTGTGCAAGGCAGGAAAAGCAAGCCAGGAAGCAGCACTCCTCCATGGCCTCTGCTTCACTTCCTGTTTCAATATTCCTGCCCTGACTCCCTACCCTGACTTTCCTCAAAGATGGAACTGACATCTGCACTATGAAATGAATCCTTTCTTCCCCAAGTTTCCTTTGGTCATAGTGTGTTTATCACATAACAGACAGCAAGACAAAATATATCATACATATATGTGCTATATATATAATGCATGTATTTTATGTATATAGCTCCATATAAGTCCCGATTTTATGCATTCCTCCATTGCAGATTGTATAACTTAGCTATTGAAAAATATCACAATGAACAAGAATATTCAAGCATCTCTACTGTGTGAGAATTATTCATTTCTTTGATTATTCACCCAGAGGTATTATATCTGGATCATATTATAGTTCGATTTTTAGTATTTGAGGAGCCTCCATACTAGTTTCTGCGGTAGCTTCTTTCGTTACATTACCACCAGCAATGTGGAAAGTCCGGTCCCATCCTCCCCTCTCCACTCCCCACCCCACCACACCAGCCTTTCCCCAACATGCCACCCCAGGCCCATCCTATGCCAAGGCCTGCTAGGATTTGCTGCTGTTTGTTTTCCTAACAGCCTCACTAACCTGAGCAGATGGGATTTCAGTGTAGTTTTGATTTTGATTTTCCTGGTACCTAAAGATACTAAACATTTTTTTCACGCATTTATTTCCTATAGTGTATGTTTTGGAAATTTATTTGATCAGCTAACAAAAACCATAACACCATGCACGAGGAATGTTATTTTGAAACAATAGCCTTTTCTATAGCCCTTGTTTGCCCCCCAAGACATGGGAAGCAAATGACTGTTGCTGAAGACACCAAGCACATCAGACATAGGAACAAAGGACCTCTGGACAAGGTTATTTTCAAAATCTATGAGCAAATACAATGGTAGCAGATAGTAATGCACAGTGATGAACCCATAAACAAACACAATGAGAACAAGGAGCTGGAGAGATCGCTCAGTGGTTACGTGCTCACATGGATGTAGGCAATTGTATGTGTAATGCAAGGAATCTGTGGACACACATATGGATGCCAGAGGCTGCCACAGGAGTCTCAATCACTCTCTACCTTATTCACTGAGACAGGGTCTCTCAATTAAACCCTGAGCTCATTGATAAGACTAGCCAGTTTGCTCCAGATATCCCACACTTCCATCTTCTGGGCACTGGAATGACAGGCAGGCTACAGTGCCCAACAGACATTTACGTGGGTGCAGGAGATCAAACTTGTCCTCATACTTGCTACTTACACAGCAACTGTAACTGTGAGCCCATACCCCCAGCCCCATATGCAATTGTTTTTAACCATTTTCAGAGAGAAACAGCTGTATCACACACAAAATTAGTGTGTCAGCAGAGAAAGCCATGCGAACCAAGTAGATCCTGAAATCCCCACATCTCCTTTTCCTCCATGTAGCATGTCACCCTTCCCCTTTGTACAGTTATTTCTTCAAGCTTTGTTATTGCTTTACCTCTAAGTATTGTTTTCATGTACCATCATCTATTCCCATTCCCCGTGAGGAAACAGAAAGAAAAAATGCTAATTAAAAATGTTCTTTTTCACGTGTAATAAAATGGACCATATGAAACTGACATGTTAGTATGGGGAATACACATATTTGTTTATATTTAGATATAGTGTGTATAACATATGTTATTCATAGTATATTTCTGTTTATTTAAAGTACTATAAATACTTTTTACCCTTATGTAGTTTTGAACTTGTTTTTGGTGTAGTTGGAAGGCTTCGTTCAAAGCTTGGAAATTTTTAAGAGAACAATAAAAGTGAATGGATGTGTAGATGTGCGGTTATCTCTTCAGCTGAAATCATGGGAGAAATCTCCAGCAACCCTAGGCACAACCGATAATGTACTGGAAATGCAGAGATGATCCAGAATTAATATGCTTGCTGTACAAACACATGGAGCAGAGTTCCAATCCCCGACACCCATGTCTGAGACCCAGCACTTGGTAGCATGGTGTAGAGGACATCCTGTTCACACATACTCACAAGAAGAAACAATTTATCTAAAGATTGTTATAAAGCAATTTTTAAAATTCTGAGCAATTAGATCTTAGAAAAATAAGACAAGTAGAAGATCTCACGACTGAAGTGGCATTTCTAGAGGGCCCCCAGAACATCGTAACCCCACATTCCCTTTGAGATTTGAAACTCAGACAATCTGACTGGCCTAGCCTAATTTGGCTTGAGGTTCCATGAAATTCCATGCTCTTCAACTCAACATAATAAATACCCATTTGATCCATTGCTGAACCAATGTGAATGATGCCCTGGAATTGAAAACTGGGATCTGACATTGGAGCCTGTTGCCTATTCCAGTAGAAGGACAGGATGAGATGAGGGTTCCCTCCAAAAACTGGAGGGAGAAACAGGAGAGCACCTCAGAGTGTGCATCTTCACCTCGTGTTTGGGTGCTCGTGAGGAGATTGAGTAACAATAACCAGGGAGACACCTATGCTCTTCACACTTACATTTTTTTCTCTGTGAGCTCCACAAGAGAATGTGCTCATAAGCTCACTTCGGAGACCATTCTTCCAGTTGTTGCTCAGCTTCAGTAGGGTGTGAATACTGTAGGCAGCTCACAGAGGAAGAATGACTCTCAGTGCTGAAAGGTGGGTCAGATGCTGGTGAGGACAAACACTGGTCATATCCTCCACTTTACCTCATCCACTCATCAGTTACCAAGCTCTCTCAGTCATAAATGTAGAACGTGTACCCTATAGCCCGAAACTACAGAGAAAATCAACATTTCAAGTACATGGTGCTTGCTAGGGTAAAGTGACTTTTGTGAAGCTTCCATGCCTCCGTGTCCACATGTTTCATCCAACCGACAATGATAAGAGACTTGGTTTCCCGAACGTTCAGGTCTGCCAATCACTACCACATAGTTTGTGAATACAGCTAAAGTGACATACACAGCTTAGGTTCAGAGTATGATTTTGCCTTTGCCATTTACTAGTTTTATGACCCTAAATATGTTATTTTTCCTTTGTATAGAAAATTTCTTATATGAAAAAGGGATGGGAATAATGTTCCTATCTCTCAGATCCATATGATTAAACAAGTTAATATATACGTGCAATAGTAAAAATCAGCTAGATATTTTCCCTGACTCCCTGATAGACAACAATGATGCATTTTACAACTATAGTCTTCACCCTTATTGCATGTATACATATGCATGTGTGTATTATATGCACATTAGCTTCTCAGGTCTTTCCCTCAAAATTGCATGTCTTGCTGTCTTCTCCCACACAACACACTCTTGTTTATATTCTCTTTTGCTCTTCCACACAAACTTGCTTCACAGTCACTCTGATCTTTTACAGGTATAAATATGTGAACAAACCAATGAAGAATCTGGCCTGAGGCTCTCAAGACATAACTCTTACATTGCAGCAAAGGGATATCAAAACATTAGGAGCATATTAAGTTGGTGCTAAACTCATCCCCCCATTTGAAGCTATATATAACTAACTTGGATTTTTTTCAATCCCTTATTCTGGAAAAATGATTTATCTATGCTAAAATTACTTTATATGCATTCTTCTATGCTTACATCATAATATACAATTACCACTAAGAAAGTCACAGAAAAGATGTCGTTGATGTCAAGAGCTCTTCAACATATTCAGATGGGGACAAAGGCTATTGAAGTAGAAAAAGAGCAGTGACATGTTGAGGTCATATACAAGTCATAGTGTTGAGGTCATATACAAGTTATAATGAACTTGTACAAGACTTAAATTAACTAAACCGTGATCAGAGTGGCAGTAAGTCTTAAACTTGTGTGAATAAAGCAAAATAACTGTTTAATGATAACAAATTAACGAGATAACAGTGACATGAAGGTGGACAGTAACACATTTTGATTATCTACTTGCTGGAGATGTCCCTGCATCTTCAGTACAAAGAACATATGAACTCATTAAACAAAAGCTAGTTTTGTTTCAACAATATAAATGAGATGAGATTGTCACAGGTTAAAAGATATCTCTAACAAATGTAACAACAAAAATATTGCATTAACTGTCTTTGTTACTGTCCTATGGATGTAAAGAGACTCCATGAATAAAGGAACTTGTGAAAAGAATCATATATGTAGGAACTTGCTTACAATCTCAGAGGATATGTTGATGTCCATCATGGCAGGGAGGGTGGTAGATGTGGCACTGGAGCAGTAGCTAAGAGCTTACATCCTGATTCACAGGAGGAGAGACAGAGAGACAGAGAGAGAGGAAGAGAGACAGAGCAAAAGACAGAGAGACAGAGAAAGAGACAGAGACTGGGCTTGACATGGGCAAAAGAACCTCTCACACTATGCTCCTCTGCTCTGTGGCACATCTACTCCAACAAGGCCACACCCCCTATTCCTTCCCAAACAGTTCCACTAACTGGAGACCAAGCATTCAAAGTATGAGCTTATGGGGTCATTCTCATTCAAACCACCACAGAATGAAATAGTTTCCTTTAGCTAGTTAGGAAAAATTGTGCAACACTCCTTCATAAGTCTAAGAAACTGCATTTGACAGATGATAATAATAGTGTAGCTTTCCTTAAATGACAAAACATCCAGCTTAAATATTATAAAATGTGATACCTGCTTTAAGAGCCTCCTGTGAAATAAAATTATAGTGAAAGAACAGATGAAATAGGCTGGCAAAATAACTGTTGAAGCTTGGTGAAGGGTACATGTCAAAACTTTTCTAAAATCGGAAGATTTTTAGAGACATGAAGAACCTCTGAGATGAGAAACACTGCTTCTCTTCCCATTTCTCCTCACAAGCATTGCAAAAACTGTGAGGCAGTGACTTCTCAGGGTACAGCACAGAACAGGCAAATATGAATGAGTGATCTCATCGTCCAGGCCCTGCATTCACAAGTGTGAAAAGCTCTTATCAGTTCCTCCAGTTTAACAGACATTCTATCACAGCCAGTTACCACTGATACCATGTTATATAAAATTATTTTATTGCCATCTTAAGTTTTTACTTTTAACTAAACAAGTAACTGCATACCCATTGAAGCAGTATATTGTGTATTCACTGAGAAACAAACAGTAGAACGGAATGAAGGGCACAGCCCATGGTTCTCTTTCATGTCCCCGTGTCTCTTCTTCTATGAGGCTACCAGTGTTTACACACAGTTCTAGTTATGTGGGTTTAAAAGTTACGTGAGCAGCTCTATGTTAGATGGTTTATGTGTAAGGATTTCTTAGTGAGTTTATGTGATGCTCTCTACTTTTACCATCATGTGGGACCTAATCGTTTTGGGACAAGGACTTTTGTTCTCCTTTCACATCTATTTCACCAGACACTCAGTAAACACTCATTTGTAGGTGACGTTGATGTTAATAATAACAGCTGGACTCACGGCAACTTTCCTAATTGCACTCAAACTAAACTCCAGGTATGCAAATTTTACCTTCCCCACCCCCACAGAAAACTAACAATAATCTGTCACTTCAGTTCGGTGTCTCTGAGGTGGGAAACTCCATAGCGAAAAGAAGAAAAAATGTACTTTACCTAACTATTGTAAAACATCTTATTTTCTATGCACAACTTTTAGGCGGTCTTCAATTGATGATCTTTTATACCATCCAGGTTGAGACTCAAAACAGACAAGAACATTTCATTCGTGACATCATTAAGTTTCATATCAAAGTGCCCATGAGTAGTTACAACTTACACAAAATAAAAACATCAAATCTGGAGAGAGGCTCAGCAGGTGAAAGCACCATCTGACCTTTCAGAGGCCCCAGTTAAATTCCTGCACATACTTAGCAGCTCACAGCCATCTGTAGCTGTAGTCCCAGGGGATCCAACACACTCTTGGGTTTCATTGGGCATTGTACACACATGGTCCACAGACATGCATGCTGGAAAAACACCCATATCCATAAAACGATAAAAATAAAGGGAATATATTTAATCACCAAAGACAGTTTTGTAACAATTTGGGTTTTACTATGGCTAACAAATAAAATCCAAATAAAAAATCAAAGAGAATAATACATGTTGATAGTTTGTTAAGACAACACATATTCCAGAACAGTGATTCTAGAAGGGATTTCTCCTTTGACACTCGCCCAACTTCCATTCAACCTGGAACAGTTTGGGGCATTAACAAGCCCTCATAGTTGAGCGGTTCTAATTATTATTACTAATTACTAATGCACTGAGTTTCTGTTTTCCTCAGTAAGCCCAGAGCCAGCAATAAATGTTCCATGGGGATGGGACATCAACTTTCTCATATGACATCCTTTAAAATATCCAAAACAGGCTCCTGTCATGGTAGCGGTGGTGGCGAGAGGCATCAGAGCTCGCTAGGGGGTTTGATGGCTTCCTGCAGGTGTCGGCGTCTAAGAAAAGATTAGCAGAAACTCAAGAAGAGATAAATGTTGAAGTGGCAGCAAAGGCAGGCGTGTTCATGAGTTAAATGAAGAAATAGGTAAATTGTTGGCCAAAGTGGAACAAGTAGGAGCTGAAGGAAACGTGGAGGAATCTCAGAAAGTCACGGATGAAGTAGAAAAGGCACGAGCAAAGAAAAGAGAAGCAGAGGAAGTTTATCGGAATCCTATGCCAGTTTCCAGTTTCCAGCAGCAGAAACTTCGAGTCTGTGAAGTCTGTTCTGCATATTTAGGTCTTCATGATAATGAAAGGCGACTTGCTGACCATTTTGGGGGTAAACTGCACCTGGGACTTATTGAAATAAGAGAAAAACTCGAAGAATTAAAAGGAGTTGAAGCTGAGAGGCAGGAGAAAAGAAACCAGGAACGTCTGAAACGAAGAGAAGAGACGGAGAGAGAGAAACGGGAGAAACGGAGAAGATCTAGATCTAGAGAGCATCGCAGACACCGATCTCACTCCATGTCTCGAGAACGCAAGAGAGGGACTCGATCCAAGTCTCGGGAGAAACGACATCGCCTCAGGTCTCCTAGTAGCTGCAGCCGCAGTCGCAGCCACCAGAGAAGTCGGCACAGTTCCAGAGATCGGAGCAGAGAGCGATCCAAGAGGAGATCCTCAAAAGAAAGATTCAGAGACCAAGAAGACTTAGCATCACGTGACAGAGACAGGAGTCCAAGAGACAGATTACCTCGTGACCGAGATCGAAAAGATAAGAAGCGGTCTTATGAGAGTGCTAATAGCAGATCAGAAGACAGGAGGAGCTCTGAAGAGCATGAAGCAGGGGAGATCTAGTTAGCTGTGCATAATCTTCAATCCTTAAGCTTCCTCTGGAGTTAACATGCTATTGTTTAGTTTACTGCCGTTCAGGGGGACAGTTCTAGATACCATCCAGGCTACATATATAGTATCTAATGATCTGAACTGAACTTGTTTTCTTTGATAAAGCCTAAAACTACATCCATAGTTTCTGGTGAACCTGGATACAGTTCTGAACGTACAGTTTTATATAATAAGATGCTGATCTCTATTCTTTCAAGTAGGAGTGATAGCGAATGAATTGTGTTAATGCTTTGCAATCTTTCAACATTTGTAAAATACTGTCTTCCTTTCTATCCCAAACAGCAGCAACTTTGGGAATTTTTCTTTAAAATTCTTATTCCTTTGACTTTTGTATCTCCTGCTACCTGTGCCTCCCACTGTAAAAGGAGGCAGGGAAGCAATATGACTTCTGTTCTAAGGCTCTGTTCACATCAATTCCTAGTTGATTGCAGTTGACCATTTCTACTGGATTGTGTGCTGGAAAAACTTATACAGGGCTGTTTTGTTTGGGGCCTATTAGAGTTGCAAGTTGAACAGCTGTTGCATTACATATTTTTGCTTTTTTATTGAAAATCTGAAATCAGACTTCTCTTGATTTTTCTGTTCTATTAACCTGCTATGTTCAGTATGTTTTATTTTATGTGTGGAGTATAAAGGCTGTAGTTAACTGTAAAAATCACAAAATGAAAAGAAACACTCACCATCATCACATTGTAACTTGTTTATTAGTAAGTTGTCACTAGAACTATTTGCTGTGGTATTTTCCTCTATTCTGTAACATCCTTAACAGTGTACTGTACAAGGCACCAAAGGAAGTAAATATAAAATTGTAGATTTCAGATGCATTAATGCTCTACCCAAATCTCTTGCTGACTGTACTCCACTATTTCAGAGCTGTGTTTAACAGCTTCTGTAAGGAAAAATTGGACCTGTAGAAGCAACTAAGAGTCTCTTGTTTGTATTTCTTAATTGACAAGCCTGAATAAAATCAATATGTAACCAAAAAAATCCAAAACACTACCACCACAGGCCAGGTCTTGGGGGCTCCAAATCAGACACCCCACATCTTTGAAATGTTTTCTTACATTCTTACACTCCACACCCTCTCAAGTGCAGTCTAAGTGAGGATAATGTCCCATTTCTGTCAATGAAACCTGAATTTATATACCTTCCAGTCACAAGTCTTTTCCCTGTGCTGAATTTATGCTTAGACATAATGGGATTCTTGTTGTTTCTACTATTATTTTACTCTCATAGGACTTTTTACACTAACAACATTTGTATTGATTATTTTAGTCTTTTTCAATTAGCATTTATTCTATTTTAATGTAATCACAAAATCATAAAGACATAGTACATTATATTTATGATATGAAATCTTATTTCCACAGTATTAAAAATAATGTGTTACGGAGTAAATGGAATATTATGAACATGCACTAGCATTCTGGAAATTGATGTTATATGTTAACCAACCAGTTTTTGTCTATGTTAAGTTTTACATACAGGTAAAGTTACAATTGTCTGTCACCAATTCTGTATTTTATCTTTGTCTTTGCTTTTTGAAACACAGTCTAATTTCAGGAGTCTCAAGCTGATCTAAAACTTGCTTTGTGACTCAGGCTGGCCTGAGACTCACAGTTTCAGACATTGGATCATTGGGATTTACAGGAGTGAGCCTCCACACCCAATGTATCATGTTTTTTTAAATATGCATAGAGGATGCATAATAATCCCTCACTCTCCACTGAGCAATTATTCCCCTGCCCTGTCCCATACTGCAATCCATGAAAGAAACAGAAATGTTTTTAGTTAGGAAGGGCCTTCTGCCATTAAAGGTATGTCACTACCTGAATCTACATTATGGCTTTCTGTGTCGAGCCGTGAACCACTTCGTTTTGGAGTTCCAGAGAGTATCTTCTGAAGTCGTTTGCTCTGTGAGCTGTCTCATTTGTGCATTCTGCTCTTGGATCTTCCCCCTTACTTTGAGTATGTACAGGAGAAGCCAAATGAGGTAGCACCTAAACTCCTGAGATGGAGCAAGTGTCTCTGCTCACTCTGGGTCGTGGAGCTCAGACTACAAGGTTGTTGGCATCAAGACACACCCCGAAGGTAGTCCTAGCTGTAGGAGAGGCTGGAATGTGTCAACACACCAGGAGCCAGACTATTGTGCCTACGGATGGGCCCCGGGCCACGCAGAGAGGGACAGGGAACTTCACCTCCTCACAGCAAATGGGTTACACGGCATGCAGTGTGCACGGAGTTGCCAAGTTTCCGTGTGTGTGTGTGTGTGTGTGTGTGTGTGTGTGTTTTGTAGTTTGGTTAATTTGGCTCTGAACTGCAGTGCAATGATCACTCCATTTACAATTCTGCATCTCTCCAACTTCTCAAAACTTCGTTTGTCTCTGGTACAAACAAACGGAACAGAAAGGGTATACCCAGCATCTCTTAAGTTTCTTGCTTTCTCCTTTAGCTGCTCAGGATGAAGCCTAAATGCCTGCATGTGGTCACAGCTTTGACAGAGCAGAACATATTGAAACAATCACTGTTGTTGTTTCCAGGTGTGGCGTGCATATGTGTGTGTGTGTGTTTAGACATGCAGGCGCTTAAAAACAACTAAAAGCAACTTGGAAAAAACTTGAAAGCAAAGAAAGATGCACCAGATTCACACAACTTAATGACCTTTGTGCCATTTCTGAGTTTCCTATAAGTTGTACGCCCGTATAAGCTACATTCAAATGATTTGAAATAATTTGTCTTTCTACCACTACTGTAAGCAGAATCTAGTCTACATTCCAATCTTTTATTTAGTAGACTTAAGTGATTTATTTGTGCAAATTATTTTCACATTCTAATATCTTTATGAACTTTCTAATCATTTTTCATCTGATTCTTTGGGGACTTTCCAGTTTCTGTGAGTGTGTATCTCTCTGTGTGTGAAGATGTGTGTACACTTCTGTGGATGTACATGAGTGTCTATGTGTGTGTATGAAAATGTGTGTGCACTTCTGCATGTATAGATGGGTGTCTGTGTGTGTGTGTTTGTCTGTGTGTATGAAGATGTGTGTGTACTTATGTGTGTGTAGATGAGTTCTGTGTGTGTGTCTTTGAGTGTCTGAAGATGTGTGTGCACTTCTGAGTGTGTCCATGAGTGTCTATATGTGTGTGTGTATGAACATGTGTGTGCACTTGTGTGTGTGTGTCTGTGAGTGTATAAAGATGTGTGTGCACTTCTGTGGATGTACATGAGTGTCTATGTGTGTGTATGAAAATGTGTGTGCACTTCTGCATGTATAGATGGGTGTCTGTGTGTGTTTGTCTGTGTGTATGAAGATGTGTGTGTACTTATGTGTGTGTAGATGAGTTCTGTGTGTGTGTCTTTGAGTGTCTGAAGATGTGTGTGCACGTCTGAGTGTGTCCATGAGTGTCTATATGTGTGTGTGTATGAACATGTGTGTGCACTTATGGTGTGTGTGTGTGTCTGTGAGTGTATAAAGATGTGTGTGCATTTCTGGGTGTGTAGATGAGTGTGTGTGTGTGTGTGTGTGTGCGCGCGCGTGCGTGCATGCGTGTGCATAAGATGGAGACCAGAAACCAACCACAGGTGCCTTTCCTTCTTTCTTTCTTATTTTACTTTTTACATTTTTTTGTGGGGACAGAGGCAGGGAGGTGGATGACAAGATCTCTCACTGACCTAAAACGGAACTCACCAAGTCAGCTAAGCTGGTTGTCCTGCAAACCCCATGCTTCCTCCTGTCCGCTGCTTCTCTGTCCCCACCCCACCCGCAGGTAACCACACTAGGCTGTTGTGAATGCGTAAGGGAATCTAGCTCAGTTCTTCAAGCTAGAAAGGTAAGTATTTTCCTTACTGAGCCGTCTCCCTAGCCAAGAACCTTCTGGGTATTCAGTCTTTTCTGTTTGTAGTCTTACAATTTTAAATTTTTTAGTTTATCTTGTCTAAGTATTCTAATGGTGCCAATGCAGATGCTAGTGTTGAAAAAAGAATCCCTATAACTATTCCTGGCTCTAGTAAGAAAATGTACTTCATTTGCAAAACTTGATTTGGGTGATTGTGATACACAAATGTATACATATCTGTGAAAATGTGTAAATATTGTACATACACATTTCTACACATAAATGCAACATAGAGTGCATTAATTTCCCCTTTGAGGTCTCTTAAAAATGGAGATTAGATTAGATTTTGTCAGATGTTCTTCCAGTATCTATAGACATAATGTAAATTTTCTCCTTAAATTTATGTAAAATTTTACATATCATCTTAAGTGTATACTATGAATATCAGAACATCTTAAGGTAATAAAACACATTTGGTTATGATGTTACTCTTTTACTATGTAACAGGACCCCCAGACTTTAGTAGGCCCCAGACCTTAGCACAACTAACTCCATGATGAAAGTACTATTCATTCCATAAAACTCAACCCCTAGAGAGCCACAGCAGCCAAAAATGGAAAGCAAAGACTTACTGCCCTCACTGTCCATAGTGCAGGATGCACTAACCTGGCTTTTTGGCTTCTGTAGCCCCATTTCTGGGTGACTGCTCTTCCTACTGAGCAATCTCAACCCAGAATATGCTTTTGTGTATAAAAGTTCACCCTGAGAAAGGCTCAGTGATGGGCTGGGAACCTGAACACCCAGTGTAGTTGCTGGGCAGCTAGTAAAGACTTTCTCTTGGCTTAAATCCTTGTCTTCTCTGGTAGATGCCCCACAACACTATACTGCTAAATCTTCTTTGCTTATATTTCATATCATATGACTGTATCAATATTTTGATAGTGCTTATATTTGGAATCATATACAGGATTATTTGCCATCTTAAATGTTACTATATTACGTTTGGACTACGTAAAACACACCAACAGGATTATTTACCATTCTTGCATCTTCCCTCTGCTCCAGCCCAACATCTTTCAGGTGTCCAATGACAAACATTGACAATCACACATGTCTTACTCACTGCTGCACTCTTGTCTTCTCTGAGCTGTATTCGACCTGTGCACTGCTTGTCTGCTGTTTGCTTCCCGCCACTTCCTTCATCGTCCTCTGCTAGAAGCGCATCTTCAAGACTAGAGATTCTG